CTCCTGACCCACAGTCCCCTGCCCCCCTGCTGCCCCTCACTCCCAAGCCACAGTCCCCCCAACCCCAGCCTTGCCAATGTCCCTCACTCCTGACCTGTAGCCCTCTGTCCCCTAGCTCTGCTGCCCATGCAGCTCCCGGATGCCCCCAAAGAACCCCTTCACCCTATTTCCCTGCTGAAGGGGCAGGCACTTCCCCTGTCTCCCCCACCCTGCTGCAGCCCAGGCACCGGCAGGCACTCACCCCTCTTGTATACCCATCCACAAACCTATACATACACACACACACTCATTTACACCCATCCACAGCTCCTGCCCCCCCAAGCCCTGGCCTTACCTGCATGCAGCTGCCAGGGCTTGTGAGTAGATGCATGTAATGCTCCTGCCTCCAAATGCCCTCCCCGACTCCTCCCAGTCCCAAGCAGCTTCTTGCTGGGGCAAGCCAGGAAGTACCAGGAAAGCCTTTAATGCTGAGCAGAGGCAGAGGAAAGTCATAGACATTTGCTGATATTTTAAAAAAACTGCCTGGATGGAGATGGGAGGACACAAAAAGAGGACATGTTTGAGAAAACCTGGACGTATGGCAACCCTATGCTTTCATGATTCAGACTGCAGAGAGAGACAGGGCAGTTACAGCCTTATCCTCCTCAAACAAAGCGTGCTTCCCTGAGTTCTCTCTTATTGTGGTGCAAAAATCTTTAGGACTTTTACATATGGAGAAGAAGACTTTTAAAGGCATAAACAGCTGTTAGGCATCTACTTTACGCAGAAGGTGAAGATGAAGTGTCTAACTTATTGTTTCTTCAACCTGTGGTCCATGGACCCCTGGGGATCCACAGATTATATTGAAGGGGTCTGCAAAACATGATTATGATCAATCAAAAGTATGTGAATACCCGCACTTACAATTCAAAGGGGTCTGCACTACAGTTCAATTTCCAAGGGGTCTGCTCCTCCACTTGAAATTTTTTAGGGGTCTGCAAATGAAAAAGTGTTGAAAATCACTGCTCTAACTGTCATGTGTGCACTGGAAATGCTCCCCTTAGGAGTCTGATTCTGCTCTTAGTCTACTGGTGTGAATAAGGAATCACTTCTGTGAAGTTAGTAGAAATGGTGGGGGTAGGAGGAGGAGTAATCAGAGCACTACCTAGGAACTAGGGACTAAGTATTGGGCATCCTGTATCCTGCTGTATACTCTTATACAAGTTACTTCAGTTAAATATGTGCATATGTCCCATTTTCAGTAGTGTTGTAGGCACTTTGTAGCCTACATCTCATTGAAAAATACTTGTTAATCTTTAATGCATGTGCAAAATATTTCAAAGGAATGTGATTAACTAAATTTCATCTTCTATGTCTAGAAAAAGTATGTTACGCACACTCATACACTCATAGGCGCCAACTTTTATTTTTGCTGCGGGGGGAGGGGAGGGTGCTAAGATGATGGACATGTTGAAAATTTTACATTTTTTAGGTGACAGTCCTCTTCCTGGGGGTGGGGAGGGGAGCAGGGGAGAAGGAGCCCCCATGTACGTAACACCTCTGTATACACTGATGGAATACATTAATACACTGTGGTTTTCCAGACTTCATTTTGGAACAAAAAAACCCCTCAGGTGGTTTAAATATCTCATCCCATCCCTTGTAACAGATTGCACTGTCCTGTACTCTGTATATGCTACATTTATTACAGAAGAGAGGTATTTTAGGGATCTTTTGGAGAATCTTTACATTTTTTTTGTGAGCATTTTATTTTATTTTATTCCTCCATCAGTGATATGAGGTTCCATAGTTTTCACTAGTCAAACAGAACTGGGATCAGAAGGAGTTCATACAGGGCTGTAAAAGGAACCTAAATGATTTTTCTATGCCATCAAATGCCACATCTTTATAATTAATTAACTTGGTCCATCCAAGGTTGTAACTGTGTGTTGCATGTCCCACTGGACAGCTGGAAAATGCTTTCTCGTAATTCCTTTAGAGCTACAGGACTTGAAAGTGCCAACATTTTATGGACTGAAAAAGTTACTGGCCCAGGGCCAATTCTAGCTCATCTTTGGTCTCAGACAAGTATAGTTTTCGAATGTAAGAGTATACTTTTACTATTGAAAGAGAAGAAAGCATTTCTTTCGGCATGCTAGAATGAATCTTGAGGAGAGGGATGTCGGGGTACAGCTGGAGAACTGCTCAAAGTGCATAATAAATTAATGATTTGCCACTTACTACAGGAAAAACCTGTACACTGAAAGCTCTTCACACTTGTATGTGTGCATGCAGGTTATAGCTACATGACAGACTGAAAGAGCATATGATAATAAAGGTTTATTTTTGACAGCGTATGCATTAGATTGCTTGTAAAATATTTTCCTTTTGTATGCTTTGGAGCAGTTGCTCTTTGTTTATTTTTAATGAGTTATATATATAAGTTAAAACACAAAGGGAAAGGGCACAAAAACAAATTCCCAGTTCAGCGTTCTCTGAACATTACTACAAGGTAGTTTCTTACTCATAGAAAAAAATCTCGTTGCTATTATTCTAGCTCTTTGCTGCAGTGTTTGGGGTCTTAACCACCGACTGCAGATGATGACCACAAGGCTGACTGATCTGCTTGCTCGTGCTTGCATTTTACTGCTGTTTCTCTTCTGTTTCTCACTTCTTCACCTTTGCATACCTAAGGTGGAGTGATTAAAACTATCAAAGCCTGGCATGATGTCAGAACTCTTTTCTGCGGTTTTTTGTTGGGGGGGAAACTTGTTTGATGGGAACTTAAAACCAAATAACCATGTTTATTAAGAAGCCAAGTTAACTGATACATTTTAGGTTTTGAGGTAACAGCATCTAAGCAACCTTCTGAGGCCTTTTGACAGAAAACCAAAGTGGGAGAAAAACTCAGTGGTCACCTTCAGTAACATCTATCTGAAATGAAATATAGCAGGGTTGATTCTCTGTTTTGGCTGATGTGCACTCCTTGTAGGGATGAGTGAAGAAAGAGTAGCTTTCATCTATTTTAGGTTTGTCATATTTTGGGCCTGGTTATGGGCCTGCCATATCCCAAGGTAAGTTAGAGTAGCATCAAGGCTGCTGTAACCTGTGTTTGGTTTGTTCTGGCCCTCCTATTAGCCATGGCCACACATTGATGTTCAGAATAGAAAGAGGTTTTGTCTCAGGGAAATTGGTGGCATTTCATTAAAAGTGAATCACGTACTTTGAATTTTTACATGCAGGTTGCCAAGATGGAATCCAGAATGAATTTACTCTTCACAGAGTTTCTCATGCCACCGAACCTTTCCTGCCATTGGAGCCAGAAGTCAGGTTTCATATTACTGGTTTCCGCAATGATTACTGTAAGCTACTCTTTTCTTCTGCTTGAAAGGCTGAACTTGTAGCAGAAAGTGGGAACTTTTAAAATGGGGGGGGGGGGGGGG